CCGAAGGCCGAAGCTGGCCACACCTGCACGCTAATGATGAGCAATCACCAGTTTACGAATTTACATATAAATGAACCGCCGCTTGACCACCGGTCATCACCGTTGCGCCAATCACTTACGCTTGCTTGGAGCATCCGCTTCCGGAACGTCGCTGATCGCACGGCTGTACAGGCTCTTCTGCAGGTGGTTCGACAAGTCTGAAAGTAGAGACGATGACCGAGGAACGCATGAAGCGACACGCGACAGGCGACACGCAGTCGTGACGCGCAAAGCTGTCACTCACCTTTGTTCAGTTCATCCAGCGCCCAAACGTTGGCCAGCGAGAAGCTGTTGGTCGGGCTGAAAAACTGGGGTCGGGGAAACAACGGAAACAGTGACAGACCCCCGGCCCGGATCAACTCGGCACGTGCGATCGCTGACGACGGATATGGAGGAAACAGCGAAGCTGCGACCGAGCCGGTTGTTGGCGTAACGCTGGTCATCACCGGCAGCATGGACGACGCCGAGGGCGGCGATGGAATCTGACTCTTGTCAACGTTTATCCCTAAGGAATATGTTCAGCATTAACCGTTGCTCCGGCGACACCTTTTAAGCGCCGCTACTTACCGAAAACTGAACCGTAATTGGTGTACATCGTATAAGGACAATTCTTCAACTGACAACCACTGCTGCGCCCAATCGCAGGACTCCTGCCGGCTCGACTAGGCTAGGTTCGGCTAAGCTAAGTTATACTAGGCTGAACTTGGTTCGACACACAGGGTTGACCGGTAATAATGGCGACTTTAGCGTGGATACTTCGACGCTGACTTTCCGCACCTGGAGTGACATGAATCGTGTCCTAACTTCAATAGTTTGTTAATCTCGCGCTAGGGCGGATTCCGGCCTGGTCGCCAGCCAATGAACGGGCGACGTCGGGACGACATTAAAGTGTGCGACCAATAGGTCGCGCAGTAATTTAGACGCCGATTGGTTTAGTTGTTAATGATGTTGTCAAAGTCCTTGAGAAGTACAACTTCGCAGGTGTGGCGGAAAGGGCTGAATGAAGCTGCGCTTTTTAACAATGGATCGGTCTGGAAATATTTACGGCTTTTATTTGATCTGTATGGCGTGTAATTGATTCCGCTTTGACTGCGATACGAGACAGAGTTGAATGCTGATTTGAGTGCAGTGTGCGTTTTATGGTGCTTCGTGCACGGATAAGCATACGGTTACGAGATCGGTCATCTTATTGATTGACACATGCCTTGAAAGCGAAT